AAAAGATCTGACTGCTCCTTTCTCTACAAATTCCTGGTTATGCCAGGCAGTGTCAGCTCAAGTCTTTAATCCTAGCACTTGGGACAGAGGGGCAGTCGATCTCTGTGAGTTCAAGGCTAGCCTGGTCTACAGAGTAACTTCCAGGACAGCCAAGAATACACAGAGAAACCTTGTCTTAAGAAAACAAAATCAGAGAAAAAAGTCAGAAAGTGAGTTCTTTCCAGAGAAGGAGTTCAGAGAGGCAGTGATCGTCACAGATATACTCTATGTGAGGAGGGATAAGGGGAACTTAGTGGGGGAACCAAAAAGACACGTGAGCAGAGAATTCCTCAGAGAGTTAATGACACACTCATACATTCTGAGTCAATGGATCTCATGTTACTCAAGTCTGCAAACGAGGGTGGGCACACCCCTATTTAAAAACCAAAGCTTAGTGTTGATTACAACTGTTTAACACTGGAGGTTTTTTTTTCTCAACTCCCTTCTAGCCTTCCTTTTAACCTTCTGGCACCTGTCCACCACTGCCTTTGTGACCACTGTATCAGTGCCATCCCGAGTGGCCGAAGGAAATGACGTCCTGTTCCTTGTCCACAATCTGCCAGAGAAATTTAAAACCGTTGCCTGGTTCAGAGGGCCCTCAAATATGACTGCAATATATGGACTGCCCGACAATTTAAGTAGGCCAGGTCCTGCACACAGTGGCAGAGAGACAATATTTCACAATGGATCCATGCTCCTTGAAAAGGTCAACCTGAAGGACACAGGCTTCTATACCGTACGAACCTATAATATACATGGAAATGCCATATCAACAACATACACATACCTCAACGTGTATGGTAAGTTATTCGTTGTGAACTCTGTGCACTGGGTGAGGTTCATTCCACTGAACACTTACAGGAGAGGGGTCTGTGCTTACCTTCCCTATGCATTGTGTTCTCATGTTGGGGTTTGAGCATTAAGTTTGGGACTCACAAGGTGTAGAATAAAGGCAATAGATCAGAATCCTTCGTTTGACTTCACCTTGCACACAGGTAGATGTGTTATGGGTAGTTCATCCAAGGATATCAGCTCCTGTCTAGACTCAAAAGGTTCTTATCATGAATGTTTCCTTGAGAAAGACTCGGAGGGAATCAACATTGAGCGTGGTTGAGGAAAGCATGGAATCCCCAGAGATATGAGCACTGGGACACTTGGCCTCAAGACTTCTTTCCCAGACTCAACTCCAGGTGTCCATGAGAAGCATTTTCTAAGTGTTGGATTTGGATGTCTTGATGGCAAGGAAGAGTGCTCTCTGGTAGTCAAAGTCATGTGATGTGTGGAATCAGATGAGAACCTTGGTTGAGCTACATCCCTTGGCCATCTTCTTCAGAGAGGCAGCAGGGAAGCATAGGTCGGCAGGTGTCTAGGCCATTAACTAACAGTCCTGTTGGGCATATGAGATTTCACATGAAGGTGTGTTCCCCAAGGAGAGGGACTGAGGAAACAGGTTTTTTGACAAGTGCTTGTCAGCTGGGTGCAGCTTCTGGAATTCTTTCCTGTAGGCAAATGGTTACAGGATAGATTGGGCCTTCCCAGATAGGTGCTGTAGTTCCACAAATGATCTCCAGGGATGTCATTTGGATACATAATGAACTGGCAGAAAAGCATTTTGCCTGAACTAGGAACTTACCTAGGAACCTGGTTCGAACTGTGTTTTTACAGATGTGGAAATCATGGTCACAGTGTTCTCAGACCTACTGACTGCTTAATGTGTCTGTCACACTGCCAGGAGACCATGTTCTCTCTCCCACTTCATGTGTTTCCTTTGGTAAATGCATGTTATCCATGGTGAATCAATTAGATAGAGGTCCAAGGCCTCTCAGAAAGGCCACAGAGCACAGGGAAGCAGAGGACATGGGAGCACGGTCTTGAAAATCTTGCAGAATGAAGGGTCTCACAGCCGTTTTCCAGGAATCAGGTCACCTCCTCCCACACACTCAAGATCTGAGACTCCTACACATCTTGGGCCCAGAATCCAGTAGGATGGTGACTCCCGGGAGAACAGTTTTGTTCTTTTCCACAAACAAAACTCACCTTGTCCCACTGGAGTCTCAAAGTTGGTTTTGTCACCTTCCTGCTGGGAGCAAAGTCCATATTTTGAGAGCATTGAAAACAGGGCAGACTGGGTGCCCAGCTGGGGTTCTTTGTCGCACAGTTGTGCAGATTTCCCCTTTTTAGTGCTGAGAAACCTAAACCAGCACACAGCAGAGTGCAATTCCAGGCTGAGCTGCTATTATCTCATGTCACAATGATGGTCATCACCCTTGACTCTTACTCTGTGTTCTAGAGGAGAGAAACACAAGGAGAGAATCGGAAAAGAACATGGGGCAACACTGACATTGGAGGGGCAGAGAAGTGGTTTGAACACAGACCCACCATCAGCCCATTGTACTATGGGAGGTGCTCCTTCCTGGGAGGAGGCTCAGTTCAGATGAGAAGGACAGCAGAGTTTGTGAGCTGTGCTGGAGCAGACACCTCGGAGGCAGGACAGATCAGCTCACTCAGACAATGCAGTTCCCCTCTGCGCTCCTCTGTAAAGTGTGCACCACATCTCAGGGCGTTCTGCTCATAAGTGAGGAGACCAGGAGTGACAGTGTGTGAGAGGAGAGGACTGACATACTCTCTGGTGTCATGAGAGGAGTCAGTGTTTGTAGGGGAGAAGAATACAGAGTGGGAGCGAGACTCAGAATTTGAATTCACTCCTTGAATACTTCAATTTCACTGATGGCTTCATTTTTAAAATAATACAAGATTACCGTGTGTTGATGGCACAGGCTTTTAATCCCAGCACTTGGGAGACAGAGGCAGGTAGATCTCTGTGAGTTTGAGGCCAGTCTTGTCTACAAGAGCTAGTTCCAGGACATCTAGGGCTGTAACACAGAGAAACCCAGTCCTGAAAAATAAAAAAAAAATACAGGACAACTTATGGTTTTTAAAATGTCCCAGTTCGAGAGAACTTGAAGTAAAGAAAGCTAGGAGAATTCAGTTGTTAACTGCCATTCCAACAGGAACAGAACAACAACAGATTTTGAGAGTGAAAACAGTGTTGGTAGGGGCAGAGGGGGGCAGGCATCACCCCACCGTCATCCACTGTAAACACGAGCAGGGATCTGCTCCAGTAAGATCCCAGGCAAACTGACAACGGAAGAGCGAGATCCATATAGTGGAAATGACAAGTGTGGTGATAATGAAAGTATGAAGGTCATGTGCAGACCACCACCAAGTAGGACAGGGAGACACTGACCCGCCACCCTAGGCTGAACTATGGACACAGCTTCTCAGGACACAGAGCCTCATCTTAGCCAAATATAAAAGATCCAACTTAGATGTATCTTTGTCTTCCCTTCTAGCTCCCCTTTGGAAGTGTGGGCTCCTTGATACCTCTTTACAGCCCACCATTGAATCCGTGCCACCCAGCGTTGCTGAAGGGGGAAGTGTTCTTCTACTTGTTCGCAATATTCCAGAGAATTCTGTAGGCTTTGCCTGGTTCAAAGGAATGACTGCCTTCAAGAACCTTTTGGGTATCCGACATCTACCATTCAGGAAACCAATTGTGTTTGGACCTGCATACAGTGGCAGGGAGACACTAAACAGTGATGGGTCCCTGCTGCTTCACAGTGTCAGTCAGAAAGACCGTGGACTGTACATACTGCGAATTGTGAGAGCAGATGGTAAAGATGAAGAAGCAAAAGTGCAACTCCAGGTGGACAGTAAGTGATTCTCTGTGAGTTTTCAGGGCTGGGTGGGGCTTAGACACACAGGACTGCCATGGCGAACTTAGCCTCCCTTCCCTCTTACACGGTGTCCTCGGGTGGAGGTTTGAGCACTTAGTGTAGAGACAAATGACCATAGACCAGCTTCCATCTTCTGTCTCCATGTGCATCAAGGAAGACCTTGATGGAAAGTAACTCAGCTAACATGTCAGAGTCAACCCTTCTATTGGGGCTCTAGACCTGGGAGAACTGAATCCTGTTATCTTTCCATGGATGGACTAAAGTGACTCAGTCTATTGTAATGCACTTATATTCTCTCAAAGATCATAAGAAACAATGGTTTTAGAACATCTAGGTCAAACTGGAGTATTTATTACCTTCAAATTAAGAGTGTCATTAACAAAATCCAGGAGTTGGTGCAGAGATCACAGATGGGTGTTTCCTATTGGTTTGCTCTTCATGCTTGCTCAACCAGCTCTCTTATATCACCCAAGACTCCTAGCCCAGGGCTTGAAGGGTCCACAATGGTCTGAATCCTTTTACATCTATCCCCAATTTAAAAAATGTACTACAGTTTGGCCCACAGGTACATCTGGTGCTTGCATTTTCAATTGAGGCCGTTTCTTGTAAAGTGACTGTAACTTGTGTCAAAATGACACAAAACTATGCAGCCTAGTACCGAAATATTTTAAAGAGCTGAGTCTGCCTTGAAGACCAGACTACTCCCAACCCCCACACAACCCCAGAGCTAAGGGGCACTTGACAATACTACAAGTGCATCTATTAGGTGAACTCAAAGGGTGAGTATTGCCTCAAAGGAAACTGAAGAAAAAACCCAGAAAATGATCATTTCTTCCAGACCTGTTGAGTGCAGGGGAGGCATCACCTCAAACCTCAGTGTACATGAGTGTGTGTGGTGTTTGCCTGAGTGTAGGGAGGAAGCAGCCATATAGAAGAAATGATTCTTTCAGGGGCATTGTTTGTAAAGAGGAGTTTTGAAAGGTCAAGAAAGATAATGTTTCTGCCCTTCATTATGTGGCATACACACACACACACACACACACACACACACACACACACACACTCACACACAAACAACTCTAGCATGAGTGATGACTCCATCTCCTCAGTCTGGAGGTCACCATCTTTTTATCAAACACAGTGATTCCCATGTGATGTCTTTTTCTCTCTTCCCTCCCAGGTTCCCTTTCTGCATTCTGTAATGCTCTCACTTCTTCCCGACTCATGATCCAACCGGTGCTTCGCTATGTTGCTAAAGGTGAAGACGTACTTCTCCAAGTTCATAATCTTCCAAAAGAAGCGCTAGTGTTTTCCTGGCTCAAATCAAACAATGGGAGCCCAGCCCGTAAACTTGTAGAATACAATAGATTAGCGAATGTTATCTCCTGGCTGCCTGCAGAGGAAATAAGAAAGGAGGTGTATGAAAATGGATCCCTGCTGCTTCAGAATGTCATTGAGAGTGATGCAGGGATGTACACACTCGAAGTTTTATACAACTATTTCAAAACTGAAAGAGCAAATGTGGAGTTTTATGTAAAGAGTAAGTGACTCTCTACGGCCTTTGACTGCTGGGTGTGGCTCATCCTATTTCATACACTAACGTGGCAGGATTGGACTGTGCCTGCTCTATCCCCCATTGCATTGTTTACCCCCACCCCCCTCCGGGATTTAGGCCATCACTGCAGGACACTCACTGGGTAAACAAACTGTAATAGATCAGAACTCCTAACCTGGATTCACTTGCAGAGAGGAGGACCTGTGCTGGGTAAACTCAAGCCCAGGATGTCAGTGTCCTTGCAGACACTTGGAGCTCTCCCCAGAAAGACTCCGTGGGAATCAGGCAGTTCCGGGTTGATAAAGGCATGGGGTCTTCACAGAGCCTGTGAGGAAGTCCTAACTCCAGAACTTTGCCCATCTCAACTAAAGATGACATTGGGGAGCTTTTTGTAACTGTTTGTTTAGATTTCCCATCAGAGCTGACAGGAACAGAGCTTTATTGATTGACTGTCCAAGTCTTGGGAATGACTGTCTCCTAGAGTATAGAACCAGCTGTGTGCAGCCATGGCAGCTGCAGTTAGGAAGGTCACCTGTGCATCTCCTTCTCCTGAGGCTCAGTGGACAGGTGTCCAGGCCATTAGCCTATTGCTCTGATGGGCTTATGAGACTTCACAGGGAGGTCAAAGCTCCAAGGGAAGAAACAGAGGAGGCAGCTACTCCAGATCCCTCCATCACCATAGGATTCCAGTCTAGGAAATTCTCTTCTGCAGCTAAATAGTAGCAGATGCTGCTGGTCTGAGCAGCTTCCTGATCCCAAACTCAGACCATTGTTCATGACTAAGCTTAACTCATGGACATGACAATGATCATTCACTGTGTGTCCTATTGTGTAGAAACTGAGACAGGAAACAGTGTCTAAACCAGAGTAACCCAGTCTCTGGGTGGCAGATCCAAAGCTCAATCTATGTCTTTAGTCACAGCTCTAAATTCCTAAATTCTCTCCCCTCCCCCCCCCGGAATCTTTATAAAGTATAAACTTAAGAGGTCTTGGGTTACTCTCTGGATGACTGTAATTTGGTATTCTCCTCTGTTTCTTCACAGAGTCTGTGACAGAGCCCTATGTGCAAATCACTGACACCACTGTCACAGGAGGTACATCTGTGATCTTGACCTGCGTTTCACCTGATACTGATGTCTCTATCCGTTGGATCTTCAATAATAATAATCTGGAGCTCACAGAGAAGATGACTCTGTCCCCAACAAAGTGTGGACTCAGAATAGATCCTGTAGGGAGAGAGCATTTTGGACTATACCAGTGTGAGGTCTCCAATCACTTCAGTTTGCAGACCAGTTACCCAGTAAGGCTAGGATGAGTGAGTGACCTCTCCTCTTATCCCACAATAGAATGCTGGCATTTCTTTATTAGTGGGGTATAAAATGGTGAAAAGTTATGTGGTGAAAATGATTAGTTATTACTCAGGTACTGCCAGCATGGTGATTCACCCTATAATCCTGGGATACATGTGTGTACATGGGGGAGCCAAAATTTGAAGTGACGTTTTTTCTTAAAACAAAAATAAAGATATCAATACAGTAAACAAAATTTCAAAGACTTTAAGAGCATAGGTTGTGGTTCAATTATATAGCAATACCTTAGAATTCTTGGAATAGTTACAGGAGTCCTCAAATTTTTGGATGCTCTGAGTCTGCTGTGAAAATGGTGCCTTGTTTGCATAGAGAAAAACCATCCTCTCATACGCTCAAATACATTCCTTGTTCAACTAATTCACCTACTCTCAATACTGCCTGCATATCAGTTATCCATGTGAAGTGAGGAAGAGTGACAGGAAAAAGGTCTGCCCATTTTCACTGTCAACATAACTAGTTTCTAAATAGATTTGATCTATAGTTTATTTCATACACAGATGTAACATCTTTCACATAAGGGCAGATCATGCTGTTTTCACCTTGAGATTGTCATTCACAGTGAGGCATTTCTTATTAAGTTTTTTCTATTAATATGTATTTCTTTCTTTTTTTAAATTTTCCTCTCGTATATTACATCCTGACTAGAGTTTCTTCTCTCTCCAGTCCTTCCTATACCCTCACTTCTCCTGTATCCCAGATACACTCTTTTTTTTCCCTTAAAAAATGAACAGTTCTCCCAGGGGTATCTATAGAACATGGCAAATCAAGTTCTATTAGACTTGCCACAATCCCTCATTTCAGAGCTGGGAGAGGCAGCCCAGTAGGAAGAAAATCATTCAAAGGGCAGGCAAAACAGTCAGAAATGTGCCCCGCTTCCACTGCTAGAAGTTCTACAACAGTACATACCCACACCACCATAACTTGTATGCAGAGGCTCTAGCTCAAACTTTTACGGGATCCATGATTATCACTTCAGTCTCTTTGGTCCTCTGTAAGCTCTGATTTATTGATTCTGTGTTCTATGTTTTTATGGTGTCTTTGGCCCCTCTGGTTCCTATCATCCATCCTCCCCCTATTCTGTGGGATACTTCTGCTGCTGCCAAATATTTAGCTGTGTGTGTTTTCACCTGTTCCCATAATTGTGAGCTGATGCCTCTCTGATTAGGTCAGACACTTATTTACGAGATATCAGAATATCATTAGTAATAATTTCATTGAAATGTTTTTTCACTCATGTGTGGTTCTATCTTGAATTTCTGGGCTATCCATCCTCTGGTTCCTGGCTATCCAGGCAGTGTCAGGTTTGGGGTCCCTCTTATTGTATGGTTGTTTATTTGGACCAGCCATTGGTTGGTCACTCCCACAAGTTCTGTTCCATCATTACCCTAGTACATCTTACAGGAAGGAGAGATTGTAGTTCAAAGGTTTTGTGGTTTGATTGGTGTCCCAGTTACAACAATCTGTTGTGGTTACAGAAGATGACTGGTTCACACTATTCCTCACTACTAGGGGTCTCTAGTAGGATCACTCTTGTACATTCCAGGTTTCACTACAACAGTGAAAACACCACATTGCTCCTATAAGTCCCCCACCATTCCTGTCATTTCCCCAAGTACTCTCTCATTCCATCCCACCTCCTGCTACCTGTTTCCATCCCTGAAGGCTCTAGTCCATCCACAAAATATATTCTGTTTCTTCTTTCCAGGGAGCTTCATGGGTCCCAGTGGAGTTTTCCTTGTTAGCTATCTTCTCTATGCATGCAACAAAACTGCATCTAATTGTGCACAATATTAGTTTATAGAAGTAGAGCCCAGATGGGTGTGCCTGTTACAGGTTCCAGAAACTTCTGTAGAATCTTTAGGATTTTCCAAAAAAGTTCATGTCATCTGCAGATTTATTTTACAACCAATTAACTGGCTACATTTTATTTATCTGTGTGGCCTAATCGCCCTGTCTAGGACATCTAAGAGAATACTGAAGAAAAGTTGTCACTGCAGCGTCCTTGTGTCAGTCCTGGTCTTACAGGGAAAGCTGTCAGTGTCTGCACTGAGTACTGAGATGGCAGTGGTTTTTCACAAGTGCCCCTACAGCAATGGCCTCTCTTATCCTAGTTAGTCTGTTTTCATCATTAAAAATTGTTAGCTTTTCTTTGCTCATGTTCTCCCTCCTTCTGCTCCTCATCGGGACCTTGGGAGCTCAGTCCAGTGCTCCAGTGTGGGTCTCTGTCTCTGTCTCCATCCATCACCAGATGAAGGTTCTATGATGATATGCAAGATATTCGTCAGAATTGTTCTAGGATAGGGTCATTTCAGGTTCCCCATCCTCAGCTGCCCAAGGAACTAACTGGGGACCTCGGCTTAGGCATCTGGGAGCCACTCTAGGTTCAAGTCTCTTGCCAACCCTAAGGTGGCTCCCTTAACTAAGAACCGTGCTTTTGGAGCGGAAGGAGGGAGAACATGAGCAAAGAAGTCAGGACCACGAGGGGAGCACCTACCCACTGAGACAGTGGAGCTGATCTATTGGGAGTTCACCAAGGCCAGCTGAACTGTGACTGAAAAAGCATGGGATAAAACTGGACTCTCTGAGCATGGCGAACAATGAGGGCCGATGAGAACCCAAGGACAATGGCACGGGGCTTTGAACCTACGTAATGTGCTGGCTTTGTGGGAGCCTAGTCAGTTTGGATGTTCACCTTCCTAGAAATGGACGGAGGGGGGAGGACCTTGGACTTACCACAGGGCAGGGAAATCTGACTGCTCTTTGGGCTGGAGAGGGAGGGGGAGAGGAGTGGGGGGAGGGGGAGAAAGGTGGGAGGAGGGGGAGAAGGTTGGGAGGAGGGGGAGGGAAATGGGAGGCTGGGAGGAGGAGGAAATTTGTTTTTTTTTCTTTTCTCAATAAAAAAAAGTTAAAAAAATTTGTTAGCTTTTGTCAATCTTCTTCATTGATTCACTCCTATGAGTTATAAGTGAAATCACTTTTGTCTTTTTTCATGCTCCCAACGCTGTAGGTTCTGTTTCTCTAGGAATTTGTCTGTTTCATGCAAGTCATTGTACAGTTCCCTATCCCTATTGAGTTGTCATGGAAACTTTAGTAATCTGAAAAATGTACAGCAAGGTCTCAAATTTCACTTCTAATGTTAATAATGTTGCTCTTTCAAAACCAAGTCAATCTAACTAAATGTTGTCAATGCCAGTAATCACTTTGAAGAATAAACTTCTTTCCTTTTATTGAAAATAGATTCTTTTTCATACAACATATACTGTTTACAGTTTGCCCTCTCTCAACTCGTCCCACTTCCTTCCCACATCCCTTTCCATAAAGAGCCACTCCCTTTCTTTCTCCCATTAGAGAAGAATAATCTTGTAAGAAACAACAACAAAACATGATAAAATAAAATATAAGAAGATGAAGCAAAACTATTATATTGGTTTTGTACATTACAACCACACAGGAGCAAAAGAGTCCTAAGAGCAGTCACAAGAGTCAGAGACCCACTTGTTCTCAGCGTCAGGAGTCTCATAAAAATACTAATATCGGTAATACTTATAATATACATGCAGAGGACCTGGTTCCCACTCATGTAATCCCTCTGCATGCTGATGCAATCTCTGTGAGTTCAAATGTGCCTTGCTTAGTTGAATCCCTGTACTCCTCCATTCCCTCTGACTCTTATACTCTTTCTGCTCTCTCTTCTGAGAAATATCTGGAGCTTTGAGGGGATAGATTTGATGGAGACATCCCATTTAGACTGTCCATATTGTAAGTGTTACAGCTCTGGAAGGAAAGGTAGCTTATCCATCTGAAGACAAACAATACTTGTAGGTGTTACAGATATGAAATGCAAGTTATCCTGGCTGCTGGAAGTCAGGCAATACCTGTAAGTGTTACAGCTCTGAAGGGGAAGGTATCCTGGCCTTTGGAAGCCAGATGATCCCTACAACTCAGAAGGGGAAGGTATCTTGGCCATCAGAATCTAAGTAATACATAGAGCTCAGAAGGCAAAGGTATCCTGGTAGGGATCCAGGTGATACCTAAACGTCTGTTCCAGTGGGGCATGGTTTACATGCAGGAATGTAGTATCTCTGAATCTCTCTGGGAGAGCCTTTGCAACCCCACTCTGCTCTGCTAAGGGAGTTTTCCCACAGAGATGTGGCAGTTCTGTTTCTTCCTACCAAAAGTTTTTACTTCTCTGTTCCTCACTACTTGGATGAAAAGTCATCACCCAAACCTCATTCAAGAGATTTATTGGTAAGGAGAGATCCAGAAAAGTGGCTGCCCTGGAAGGGTGGTAAAAGGCAGCTTCAAATTGAACAAGTACAGGTCTTATAAGGTTTCCTAGTGGCAGAGGTTTCCCAGGATGAAGATTTTCAGGGTGGGAGTTGATTGGATTTCCATTTCTGAGCTTGGAGAAGCTCAGAAAATGGCTGGAATTTTTGCCCAGAGATGGTTAACTTTTGTACTCAGGGACTGGTTGGGTTTCCTGCTCAGGGATCATTTGGTTTTCATTTTGAGTTGATCAGGAGTAGATTATGTTTCTTAGACTCTTGTTTCAGGACCAGGGTATGTTTTTTTGAATTGGTCCTTTAACCCTACACATATGATATCTGTTGTGGGTGTCTCCATATGTTCTCTTCCCATCTGCTGCTAGAGGAAGCCTCTCGGATGATGACTGAATAAGGAAATGATATATAAGTACAACAGAATATTGCTAGATCTAACTTATAAGCCTCTTCTCTGAGGACTATAAATGATAATACTTGAAGATTCTATGCAACTTGGCAACAGAGGAAAACAGTCAATTGTCCAACACAGTTGTATTACCTACAATTCACTGAATTGACTAGTATGACAAGATACCTCTAATTGTTCAAGAACGGCAGTTATACCTTGAAAGTAGCCAAAAAACTGTCTAATTAGATTCAAGCTGTTC